AGAGAGAGAGAGAGAGAGAGAGAGAGAGAGCAGATGCTACTGACGTAAACAAAGAATAAAATTCGATAAATAGATGTGGCAAAGGCCCATCCATCCACCCATTAGCCAGAGTGAGAAAGCAACGACCCAAATCTATGAGTCAGATCCATCCATGTCTGCCCAAAAAAACGGAAAGGAAATCACTTATTTCAAGTAATGTGAAGTTTATTTCAGCTGCATCAGGCAATGATCATGATGAGGATGGAAATACCTGGCCTCGCCTGTACCTCAGATTCACGGCTGAACAGAAAACCCAAATTCGCATCACCTGACCTCACTTGTACCTCGGATTCACTAGTGAGTAAACATAATATCCAAATTCGCAGTTCATGAATACGGCGCCCATCTTCCGTCTCCTTATGGTTGGTGATAACAAATTCATACAGATGCATCAGTTGACACCATCATCATAAATGGTGTAGTAATTTATAAAAATTCAAATAAAAGAAATTCTGGAACGTGTCTGGGTATGAAGTACTACAAACCATACTTGCAAGCGGATGCCGTCCGGGCGGTTCCGCATGTGCGGCAGACCGCCGGACCGGACCCGTGCAGCGCACGAATGTGCGCCCGACGAGTAGTTACGCCCCCCCCCCCCCCCAAAAAAAAAAAACGGCCCCGTCTGGTCCGGGGGGAGAGTGCCGCACGCGGCAAAGTGGACCGGACCGGACGCTCGTCCGGTCCGTCTGCTTGCAAGTATGCTACAAACCTACCATGGGATGTTGTTGCCAGTGTCAGGACCCAGGCGTCCTGGTTGATGTTATAGGGGATGTGACCTCCTATTCTTTTTTTCTCCCTTTTTTTGTCTTCCTTTTTTTGTCTTTTCTTTGTTTTTGTCTTTCTTTTTTTCTGTCAGGGCGATGCTAATCTTCTCTGTATCTTTCCAATTTTAACGTATGTACAGTCACGAGTGGGAGATCAGGGACGGAGTTGGAGGACTGGAATGTGATGGTCATCTGTTAAGGTTCTATGAGAACTGTCTCATGCACAAGGGGATCGTTAAATGCTCCCCTTCCTTGTGAAAGGAGGAAGTAGGCATCGATGCACTGCTTCTCCCTTTTGGAGCACAATATCCAAAGGGTGGCGTTGTTAAAGCACCAGTACACCACACATCGGCCTGCGGGTGTCAGCATGCAACCCGCACAACTTCGGAGGCCGCCAAATTTTTTTTTTTCCCCCCAACAGCGCCCCTGGGCGCACGGTGCCTCCAAGTTTGCTTGTGGCGACAAAAACTTTCTGCAAGGCTGGGGCCATGTACTAGCGGTTTAAGGACAAAGACAAAGGTGTTATCAATGAAGAGGAAGATGTCATGGATAAAGACAAAGATGGAAGGGGAGTGTGCAGGAGCCTGCCCATGGCCGTGTCTAAGAAACTGTCCACATGAGTTGAATGGAAATTGCTGAATGGAAATTGCTAAATTATAAGGATTTCACCGTCTCAGCATCTTAAGTCCCGAATTCCCGAAGTCCCAAAGTCCCGAAGTCCCAAAGTCCCAGGGCCCCAGAGTACCTGTGCCCCATGTACGATTAATCCCAGCCGGTTGGCCTATTCGTACTTGGCCAGATCTGACTCATCTGAGGTAGTTATGATAGAACATGGTAGGCTATTCAGTCTGTCATTTGGCTAGGCCTGTCGGTCCCAAGTTGGCATGTCAGTCCCAGGGAAATCCCGGAAGCGTCAAACGACAACCGTGGCCGCCAGGCGAGGATAACGGTTCCGGTCCGAAAAGACCAGGATTGGAACTGCAGCGAAGAACAAAACCCCAATGGCAGACAGGTGACTACACAGTTTGGCATTCGAGCCTGCCGCAGAAGCGCTGGTGCGGTCTAGTGCGGTCAAGCATCGAGTGAGGCTGAGAAGAGTCTAGTAGGGTAGTTGACAGCGCCTAACGCCATAGCTGATAGCTGAGTGTGTGTGTGTGTGTGTGTGTGTGTGTGTGTGTGTGTGTGTGAGAGAGAGAGAGAGAGAGAGAGAGAGAGAGAGAGAGAGAGAGAGAAGGAAGACATTCAGAGAGGGTGGGAGAGGCCTGAGGGTAGATAGGACTTGAGGGAGACAGAGCCAGAGTTATCGTCTTGTTGAGGGTGGCAGCCATAGCCACCTGTAGACACATATATGATTCTCAGCAACGTTTGTTTAGGGCATCAGACCCTGCGGTGCACGGACGGCCTCGAACCGACACCCTCTGCCACAGGAACAAAGTATCGTAACCAATACAACCCTTGGAGGTGTTAAAAAAACTGGATCCATACTGGTCGTGATATCCAGCCCACCTCCAGGGCTGCAGCGTCCGTGAACTCAACACCACACACCCAACGCACACCACACCACGAACTTGACAATCACACACACTCCGTCGAACAGCAGGTAACCCACCACTGCTGTACAAGACTTTTTCAAATAATTTATTATGCTGTGTTCGTATCGTGCAGGCTTGCATCTCATGTGTGTGAGGATATGCGCTGAAGTTTGAACTTGCTCGTCCTGTGGTGACAAACAGCGTGAAGTCGTGAGATCATTGCGAAATGGAAAACAACCCGGAAAACAAAAAGTCGAAAAGAAGAGAGGCTAGTGTAAACTACCGTAACTGGTTGGGTGCCAAAGTTGTTCTGGTTCATTTTCGTTTCGTGCACTTTCACATGCTGTGGGGTGTGTGTGTGTGTGTGTGTGTGTGTGTGTGTGTGTGTGTGTGTGTGTCTTGGAGGGGTGGGGGAGGGGGGATCTTGTTTCGTCTTGCTTTCAGGTGAGGTTTACGTACCTATTTGGATCTCCGAGGGAGCTCTGAGGATGCCTGCCCTCTCTGTACCGTTGATTCTTGTTGGACCTGGAACTGGATGTGCACCGTTCCGGTCATTCATCGAGGAACGGTCGGCACTCCTGGTTCCAGATGTAAACCAACCTTTGTCGACGGGAGATGTCCCGGTTTCAGCAATTTCAGCACAAGCTGGGAGGCCTGCAGTCGGGCCTGTGTTTTTCTTTTTCGGCTGTCGCAACGAAAAAGGCGACTTCTTGTACCGTGAGGAATGGGAACGCCACTGTTCGGATGCAGGTGTGTTGTGCAATGAGCGAGGTGGTGGCTTCGCAGTTGCCTTTTCGAGAGACCAGTCGAGCAAGGTCTACGTGCAGCATAAGATCAGAGCTGATCGGGAGCGTTTGTGGCGACTGCTGCAGAATGGTGCTCATATCTATGTCGCAGGCTCAGCATCGAAGATGCCTGCTGCTGTTTCTGCCGCTTTCAAAGACGTGGTGGCCGAGGAGAGCGGCATGGCGAAGGTCCAGGCAACAAAGTGGATCGAGGAGATGGAACGAGGCGGTCGCTATCATGTCGAATCGTGGTCGTAGAAGTCGCAATGTTTCGAGTCAACCTACGTCCATTTTGTACGTCGACTGTGTAATGCCCTCTATCTATTCGGGGTAGGCACGTGGATGTACGACCGCGTTTGGTGGTATGTTCTAGGGTGCCTTGATAGAGTTACGAGTGGGCAGCAGCAGGACCAATCGGAGAAGATCGAAAGAGTAACAAGTGGGCGGCATCGGAGGATGCTTCGTCAGCTTTGGCTTGAATAAAAGTGTGGCGAAACTTTGACATGAATAATGCCTCCTGAGTCACAGCTTCGGCTCTCCGAGATATCTTCGCAGGTTGCTCATCCTTCTTTAGGAAAGACCTGGCAGAAGCTGAGTATGGCTGTGGAGAAGATCGTGGCATCATAGATGGATGGAATGAACGGAGGAGATTGATTGAGAATTTCAGAGGCAAAAGTCGGCAAAACTTTGATTTGAATAATGCCTCCCGAGTCACGGATTGGACTCTCCACCAAGTTATCTTCGCAGGTTTTTTTAATTTTTCTTTAGGAAAGACCTGGCAGAAACTGGGTATGGCTACGGTGAAGGTCATGGAATCATGGACGGATGGAAATTTGGATTCAAATTGGATGGAGGAGATTGACTGAGAAATTTGCACGGCATCCATGATGAATGAAACCCATGCCTCAGTTTCCGAAAGTGGTCCAAGTTGACTGAATCTTTTTTGACTTCCCAAAAATTTGGCAATTTGACTTGCATGCTTTTGAGGTTGTCGTCGACTTTTTTTTTTTTTTTTTTTTTCCTTCCAACTTTGAAATTTGAACTTGTCGGAGCTATTGAGAATCCGCACAACGAAGATGCAGACGTGCACTTGAATGTATGGACTCTGGAGGTGATTAAGTAGAGGTGATGTCATCATGTTGACGTGCTGCCATAGCTTTTTCAGTTTTGCAGAAACGAACTCCTCCTTTGGTGAAGGTGCCCATGAAGGGGTTTCATCTGCTTGCAAAGTTGCAAACTTGGGAAAAAAAAATAAAACAAAAATGTGGCTGTTGTGGCAGCTGTTCAGGTTGGAGCTTGCTCTGACGTAATGGGTGGCAGAGTGATGGAAACACTGGAAAGACAAATTGACGAGGACAGCAAGAGCAAGTCGGGAATTAAACCAACAATCCCTGGTCGTGACTCCCGACTGTGGATTTGCCAGTTAGTTGAATTAGATATGTTATCAACATTTTTTTTTTCTTTTTTTTTTGTCAATGTCAAATGTAATCTTTTGTTCACCTCTGTCATGTTGTGTGCATCAGGTTGGCACCTTCCCTCGCCGCCACGGTGGAAGCAAACATCTTTATATAACAATCATCTTTCTTAACATTTTTGGCATTTTCGTCCCATCCACGGTAAGCTTGCTTGCTCAGGTCTGCAGTTCGTCAGCAGAGCCCTAGAGTGAAGGGACAGACATTCTTTGGAGTCTTCGTAATAAACCTTTGTCCGTTCATAACTGCATGCATCTGGTCCTGTTTGTGGTCCAGGGAGTCCTGGCGCAAAAGAGTTTTTTTGAACTCCAACAATTTCTTATCGAGCATCGCTCAAGTGTGTCTTACCGAGGATGTGATCATGAAGTGACATTCACTTTTTTTCTTTTTTTAGTGTGTGTGTGTGTGTGTGGGGTAGATAATTAAAACATAACCCCAGCGACCACACCAGCCGACCTTTCCCAAAACAACAACACAACACATCGCAAGACTGGAGGCAGCAGAACAAAAGCACGGCATTCAGACGAGAATGCCATCGTACACATGGACGAAGCCCTCAAGGCGAGAGCTCAGCCTGATGGTTGAGAGAGAAAGGTTGAGTCCAAAAGAACAACTGACAAACAACAGTGAGGAAAGAGGCAAGGGACACAACAGTTGATGAGAAGAAATGGCAAGTTCACAACAGAGAGCAAGGGCTGGAGGGCATGAGGGAGGCAGGTGGGCAGACAGACAATACACAGCGCACAAAACACAACCAACATGCCAAAGAAACATTGCAAACAACAAGAACAACAACCCAAAAAAAAAAAAGTATCAAAACGTGCAACACCAAAAAACATAAAACTGATGATAGATTGTTTCGTCGGAGTTGCACCGATTCATCAGGAGGCCGAACCCTCGACAATCTGCAGAATCTCCGTATTTGATGGTTTGGGTCATGAACCCTTTGACCCGTGTTGAAGGCAGACTGTCCCCAAGCGGAGCATAGCAGCAGGCAGCAACCCTGTGGAGCACCAGGCAACACAGTAGAGGCAACACGGTTGCACAACGCCAAAAACGACTGCAAGGAACAACATGGCACGCAGGACATGCAGCACAGCAACCATGCAGTGAAGCACAAGGCCACACAACCAGGGCAACCACACTGCAAGGGACGACAGGGCGAGCGGACCAGCAGCTCGGCAACCATGGAGCGGAGCACAAGGCACCAGCAACAAGGCAACCAACC